ATCCCTTTTTATCCAGAGTATCCATACTATATATGTTACCCACCCATTAGTCATTTAGTAGCCTCAGTTGCATCACAGTGCTTGTATTCAAATGCAAGGATATGGATGCTGGCCATTTTATTATAGGACTGTTATAACTGGTCCATAATTATTAGTTATAGTTGCTAATGTCTTGTTGTAACTATATATTAAACCTTATCATTGGTATATACGTAAAGCAAAAAATATAGTATATAGATACTATTTGGTATCATCCACAATTTCAGGCAACTACTGTGGGTCTTAGACACCTTACAGATAAGGGAAAACTTCTGTATTAAACAGGTAGAACCAATAAACCTGGCAATGCAGGAGAATAAAATACAAATGGTTTTCATAATTACTCCTGACTTCTGATTTGGGTAACAGGGAGGCAAAACAAATTCATTAATATGAAACCCAAGAAAAGCAATGTGAATGTGTAGAATGGAAATGAGGTGGGACATAATTTTGGATGTGTTGAAACTGAGGATTCTCTGGAAATTCGATACATAAATCTTAGTAGATCAGTCTTAGTACTGAAACCATATTGAGGTGGTAGTTAAAATGCTAACACAGATTTACAAACAGGAAGGATACGTGGAAGAAGAGAATTAAACACAGAATTAAAAGACAGATGAAGAAACCCTAGCTGACAAAAAGAGAAGTGAAAGGAAGAAGGCAATAAGAAAAAGAAAAAAAAATTTCAAAAAAAAGAAATCAGAGCATTTCAAGCATCAAATGATACCAAAAGGTCACAAAAGAAAGGACTGAAAAGAATGCATTGGATTTAATAACCAGGCAACATATAGCACAGCAAGGACAATAACCAAAAGGTCAGGGCAGAAGTCTTCTGATGTAGGGAATTAAGGAATGCATGAGAGAGGAGGAAGTTGATACAGTGCCAGTAATCCACTGGCAACTGAAAATCCCAGGGTAAAGGGAAGGAGAAAATCTGTGTTGTTTAGTACAGTGGATGGAATAATGGCCTTTCAAAGATGTCCACAACCTAATCAGAACTTGTGTATATGTAACCTTGTATGGCAAAGGGAATTTTATAGAAGTGATTAAGGATTTTAAGATAAGGAGCGTATCTTGGATTACCCAAATTGGCACAAAGTAATCACAAAGGTCCTTATAAGAAAAAGGCAGAAAATCAAAGAGGAAACTCTTCATGCTGTTGGTTTTGAAGGAGGAGGAAAGGGGCCTTGAGCTAAGGTATGCAGGCAGCTACCTGAAGCTGAAAATGAATTCTCCCCCTAGAGCTTGAAGGAGAGTGATTTTGTACTTTTGATAGTAAAACTGAATAATAACATTTTCAAATAAAAGTTTAAGTTTATTGTTATATCACATAAGCTCTTTCTGTGATCTTTGGCTTCAATTATATATTGATTTTTATGCACTCGGAGTTAATGACTGCTGAACAAATTAAGGGAGAAAATGGAATAGAGTATAGGCATAAGAATTATCCTCAGGAAGAATAATGACTCCTTCTTTTACTAAAATAGGAAAGAAAGAAAGAAAGGTGTACTACAGATAAATATAAAATATGAATTGCGGAAAGTGAATCACTAATCCATACTATTTCCCAGGATCAGAGGTATGGTTTACTGAGTGACTCCTATACTTTATATGTCAAATACCTGAATGAAAACACTCTCTCTCAAAATGCTGCAACACAGAAATTATCAACACTTGACAGAGGACAGGTGCTACAAATAGTAGGATTCAGACCCCAATCTATTTGACTCAAACATGATATTGAGAAATGTGGTAGATAACACATTAATCAATCAAGTGGTCAAGGTCAACATCACCAGTAATAAGACCCTGCCATCACGCACCTTTGATATGATGTACTATGAAGAACACATTACCTCTATGGAATTCTTCCCAATAACACAACATCTTAGTCAAATCACACACACACATACACACACACACACAAAAAAAAATTGATGATTCTTCAAAAAGAAATTGATCAGTTCTATTTGAAGCTCCAGGATATGAAATACAAGAAAAAAATGGGGGACTGTCACAGACTGAGGAAGACTAACAACACATGAAAAATGCAGTGTCAGATCCTAGAATGCATCCTGGAGAGAAACAAAAAGAATGGTAATTGAAAAACTGGTGAAGTCAGAATAAAGTGTGCAGTTTAGTTGATAGTATTATACCAAAGTTTAGTTTTTAGTTTTGAGTACTGTATTATGGTCTCCAAAAACAACACTATACTGCACTGCCTCCTTTAGGGCAAACCACTTGCCTGTGGGTCTACCTTTTGTAGTCTTTTCCAGAATAATTTACATAGCTTCAAAGTCTAAGTTCATGCTCTGGCTTGTAGTAATAGCAGTTATGGTTTGAACACAGGCTGAGTTCCTAAATCACCTGGTACCCTGATCTTGACTCCTGAGCTAGACTGGAAACTTAACACTGAATTTCTTGGCTCCTACCTTTTTGGTATTAAACAAATCAAAACCCTGACCCAATCTTTGATTGATATACTAATGGGAAAGCATCTAAGTGAAGGTAGCTGGTTAAACGCAAAGGGTACAGAATATACTGGATAAGTTAGCGATTTCAGAACACATTATGCTTTTAATAATCATTATCTTCTGTTAATTATCACATTTTAAAACACATCTTCAGAAAATGTAAAGAAGAATCTCAGTACAATAGTCTAAAACTTAAAAATTCCATAAAAACATAATACTCAAAGGCAATTTTCTTGGGAAAGTAAAAATATCATAAAACATTTTTAAAATCACTTTGCTTGCCTCTCATTTACCCTAGTAAAATAAATAGAACTATTTGCTAATATTATTTATGATGATGAATATTGGCAAAGGGTACTCAAATTAAATATAATAGCAAATATTTATTCAGCCACTACTAATGAACCAGGTATTGGACAAGAGTACTTTTGATAGGAGTAATCCAACTTGTTTAAAATCCTTTTATATTTAATATTATCCATCATGGAGAGATGTTTACCAATAGCCTTAGTTAATAGTAAGCTATGATTTAACGCCAGGTCCAGTAGAAATAAAATGCATGCTACACATAAGTTTAAATTTTCAAAAAAAACACATTAAAAAAAAGTAAAGAAAAACAAAAAGGTAAAATTAATTTCAACATGTAATCATCTTTTTAAAAATTGATATTATTTTTGCATAATAAACCTTCAAAATTCACTATGTAATCTACACTTAACAGCATTTCAATAATGACTAGCTACATTTCAAATGCTCAATGGTCATATATAGCTAGTTGCTATCCTACTGGATAGCACAGATCAACCTGCTGCTTAATAAAGAGAAAATACCCTCTATGTTGTAGGGTTGAACTTTAATTCTATTTTACTAATAAAATTCAATTACCTTTACACTTGTAAATCAATAAATTCTTTTTCTGAGCTCTCGTCTTTTCTTTAAACAAATTCTAGAGAATACACTAGAGCTGCTATAAGAAGTAATGACTTCTTCAAATTATAAGTTTGAGTGTTTTTAATTAAAAAGGATATATACTAAATGCTCTCATAAAAATCAAATACATTTTTAAAAAGACAAAAACATACAGGGGCATCTATTATAAATAATTTTCAAGTCTTGATACTCTGAAATCAGACCAAAATATGAATAAATTGAAAGCTACACATCCAAAGATACTTCTTTAAGTCTTAAGAATCAATCATATCATTTACATTTAAAACATTCAAATCCAGTTAAAAGCTCTCCAAAAGTTTCATTTAAAGCAAATTTCTTTTTCATACATATGTATTTTCCTTATAATGTATAAATACAGCTTTTCCAATTCATTCTTTTTTTTAAGAGAGAGAGAGAGAATTTTCTAATATTTATTTTTCAGTTTTTTAGGTGGACACACATCTTTATTTTATTTTTATGTGGTGCTGAGGATGGAACCCAGCGCCCCAGGCATGCCAGGCAAGCGCGTTACTGCTTGAGCCACATCCCCAGACCTCCAATTCATTCCTTAAAGAATATTTCTTCCTTGTGGGAAATATGATATTTGAAATGTTAATTTAAAAAAAAATTTTTGCTATGTTTTATCTTTGGCCTAATTCCAAAGTAGAACTATGGAAAGTCAATATTATTTATACAGAGTAAGAAACTGAAGATCTTTTTATAATCTGGGACTCTCATGTTTTAAAAGGATCATTTTCAATGATTTCTTCCTAACACAGTGCCTGGCATATATTGTTTCTTAATAAATATTTGTTGAATGAACAACAAAATAACAGGCATCGAATACTAACACAGCTAGCATTACAAAATGAAATGTTTAGTGGTAATTTTCAATTGAAAGGTTTTAATGGAGTCCAGATGAAAACTGGAGCTAAATTAAATAAAATACTATCCATCACTTATTTCCATTGAACACTTTTGAGGAACAGATATTATTACCCTTATTTAATGTATGAGGAAGGTGGGGTCAAAAGTGGTTGAGTCATCTAATTATTAAGTAGTAGAGCCAGATTTCAAGCCAAGTCCTCAAACAAAACTGCGGCGGAGGGGGGGGGGGGCGGGGGGCGGGTAGAGCACATATGAAAGTTGAGGAAGGATAGAGATTTTAAATGGGACGTGTGCACATTACTAAAATTATATTTCATGCATCTCTGTTAAATTAAAAAAAAAAATACAAAAAATTCTGAAGAAAAACACACAACGGATAGTCTGTTACAATATCTCCTGCGCACTCTTGCTCTCCTCCCACCAACATCTTTTTAAGAAATTCAAGCCTATATAAAATATAATGTCCATTAACAGTATTGACCAGAACTTAAAGGCAGAAAGCAAAAAAGGCCACATCCTTCAATCTGTTCTCCTAGGACAAGTCAAACGGGCAAATAAAGCAAACCCCACGGCCTGGCGCACAGAGAAGAGGCGGCGCCCGCCCGGGCCCTTGGGGCTCATCTATTCCCATCCCCTAGGGCAGCGCCAGGACAATTGACTCCAGTTTACCTGACAGGCTCCCGCCACCGCTTGAACCAACTGCAGCAATTGGCCATCAGACAGAACATCCCAGGTAGCTCCTCCAGCCACCTCCCATCCGAACTCCTAGAGAGGATGGGCCCCTAGCTTTCGCGGACCGATACCAGGGGCCCTCGCCTCAACGGGGAGTCTCCGGAGACGGATAGGCCCCGAGGACAAACTGGGTGGGAGGCAACCGGTGAGAGCACCAAGTCCCGCTAACTGGGTCCGCCCGCGAGCGGGTAACGACAACCCTTCTCCCCAAGGGACAACGGTACCAGAGGCACACCGGAGCCGGGTTAGCTGGACCTGACCAGACAAAACCCCGCGTCTACGTGCTGACGTTCCTCCCAGGCGCGGAAGACCCTCCTCAAGCACCGCCCACATTTCGTCTCTCCAATCAGCGATAAAGGATCTGCAATGGGGGACTCTGAGTGGCTGAAGGGGCCGGACCCTCCGCCCTCTCCAGAGCGATGGGAAGGGGAGGTGGGCGTGGTCTAGAAGGAGAAGGTGGAGCTCGGGGAAGATGGCTCTCGTAACTAGGCAACCGGAGCGTCCGGAGATATACCGAGTGAGGGGATAGAATTCAGGCAAGGCCTATCCTTATATCCAAAATGTATTACTTGCCCAGTGTGGCTGCTTCTGTTCTGTCTCGAAAATCCCTGAGATCCAGAGATCTTGGGTCTTGTGCGTGGATTTGTTTTGTTAGTGCAGTAGCGATGGGAATCCTCTAGGGTCCTGGTCAACTCAGACTGCATAACTACAGGAACAAATCACTGAGGCAATTATTATAAATTAAGGATAAGCCAGAAACTCGTTTGTTAAATTGTCTCAATAGTTCAAATGGCTGTGATGTTTTAATCTCTATGTTTATGTGTATTTGCTATGTAAAATGTGAAATGTAATCATTTGATATTTGCTGTTATGATTACAAAAGAATTTTATGTTCATTAGTTAATATGTGAAAAACACTGAAAGGAACAAGAAAGAAAATAATATTTATCACTCACCACCCAAAGATAACCAGTGTCAGCACTTTGATGTATGTTTTTTCCTAGATTTTCAGATACATGATTGCTGGCTATTTAATTTCAGCAGTTTTGACAATGTGATCTACTGACTATTTTGTAATGTTTCATTTTCATAGTTATGCAATATAGGGATTTCTGTTATATTCTTTGAGAGAAAATGATAAGTACATTTTGAAAAATGCATGCATGTTAGGTAAGTAGAGACATGTTTGTTCATTCAGTTTCCATAAACATATACCATCAAATTCTAATAAAAGAAAAGAAAGCCCTGGGAATCCCTGTGTATTCAAGGAAAAATAGTGGTTTGGAACTAATATTTAGGTTTTAAATTATTCTCTGATTTTTACTAACTCATCTCATGAGCTTACTGTGAACTTCTGTGCTCCATCTATAAATTGGAATGAAAATATCTACCCTGCAGTATTACTGATATGTAATGAAAAAGAAATATATATATATATATATATATATATATATATATATATATATATATATATATATATATATAGTGCTATTTCTGATAGCAGATTTTGAAATTGGTGTTTCTGTCTCACAAACATTTATGGCATGTCATATCCTCCAGGGTCGGGGATGAGAGGACACGGCAAAATAAGGCCAAAAATTAGCCATTTACTATAAGCCAGATATAAGTACTGTTTCTGTTGACACACTTCCTAAAACTAGTGGTTCAAAACTTCAAATAGCTCTATTGTTGATGTTAATTCTTATCCATTAACTATGATTGGGCTTAAGTCCCATCAAAACATACATTTTAGATATAACTTTTGTCTTCCTGATTATCAAATCAGTTCTTTTTTCTTTTTGAATCTTTTAATATGTTTAGTGGAGTTAACACTTTTCTAAAATTTTCTCCTTGAACTTTCACAAATATACACTATTCTTGTTCTCTTCTTATCTCCCTAGCCATTCTTCCTCTGGCTTCCTATATATATTCTCTAAAAAATATGTTGTCTTGGAGAATTCGATCATTACTTCTGTGCCCATAGGCTGTTACTGTGTGACTGTTTCTTGAGCATTTCAGGAACTAAGCTTGAAACTTTTTTCCAAAACATGTACTCACACTAACTCTATTTCATAACTTTCCCAGTTCTGGTAGTGATATATTTCTCCTTTTTTTTTTTAAGAGACAGAATTTTTGATATTTATTTTTTAGTTATCGGTGGCCACAACATCTTTGTTTGTATGTGGTGCTGAGAATCGAACCCAGGCTGCACGCACGCCAGGCAAGCGCGCTACCGCTTGAGCCACATCCACAGCCCTATATGATATATTTCTTGTACTAACATGCAGTCGGTCACAAAGCTAACAAAGCCAACTCTTTGTTTTTCAATATATTAACTTAAGTTTTTGCAGCCACAAGAGCTGCTCATCATTTCTAGTTATCTTTTACTTAGAGGCATGAAATAGTTATTCCCATATGGAATCCAGCATGCCATGTATTTTGTTTTGATCGCTGAAGTGTGAGTGGTACATCACTTTTTAGTGAAAGCATTTAAGAGCAATTCTCCATGTTCTCTCATCCTTTGCAATGGCAGTCATGAGAGAGTATGTTGATTAGAGGTACCATAAAATCAAGGCAGCATGGAATGCTAAGCCAACACTGGAAGACAACTACCTAAAATTTGTGTAGATCTAGAATAGATTTCCCATGGCCAAGAAATAACACTTGTTATCTTAACCACTGTAATTTTATGACTGTTTTACACAATGTCATCTATTTTATTCTGAATGATGAAAATAATCTTGCCACTATCATTCTTTTTGCCATAAATATTCCCAGGCTCAAACTATTAAATTGAGTTAAATATTTATGAATCACTGTTTTAGGCACTAAGAGTATAGTTGTGAACAAAACATAAGAGAATTCTCACCTCATCAATTCTACTGATGGGAGGGATGATAAGGCAGATATCAAGCATAATTAAGTATATTAGGTAAATTATTAGCAGAAAAATGATATTGGGAAAATATAAAATTAAATGAGGGGATGGGGTTAGAGTTAGGAATGGTATTAGATTAAGAGTTAAATTTTGAACACTTTGTATATTGTATATTTAGAAGTATATTCAAAATACATTTCAGTTGAATAAGATTCATCATGTGTTAATCAATATTGAGCTAAAGTTAGATATCATCATCACAGAGTGAACTTCTGAGGTAAATTAAAAGCCTGAATATTTTATCCAAAGATGTATTATTAAATTTTATTTTTAAGAATTTCAGATGATTTTTCAAATTTTGATACTACAATGTAGGACACAGTTTTGTTTTTCTGTTAGCACTGATAACTATTGCTGGCACTGTGCTGGACATTTGCAGGACTAAAAAGATAATCACATTCAATCATAATCTTTGAAAGAGGAAGATTTTTTTTCTTTTTGTCAACTTATGTTTCTCTAACATTCCCTTCTTCATACTTTTCATATTTTTATGTTTGTATTTGAGATGATTATTTTGAATGTTGTTGATTCATAGCCTTGGAGATTTTTCCCTCCTTGAGAAATTTGAGATCTCATAGTTTATATTCTCTTCTCAATTTGTCCTCACAAGGTAAGGAGATTCCCAAATGGGGATTTTATTTGCAGTCTCATAGCTTACAGGTATTTAAATATTTATTAATTAAATATAATACTTATCAATTATTTTGTTTAATATAACCCAAACAATTCTACAGAGTTTTGAAGTGTATTTATATTTTTGAAGTGTATTTATATTTAAATCATTTGGGACTGAGAATAAAGTAACAAATAGACTGATAGACGGGATGAAGTCAAAGGAACCAAGAAAGAAGACAATTTAAAAGAGTCATAGATATACTCAGTCATTCTTTTTATCTATTTGCCTTTTTTTTTTTCCTTTTCCTGTAGTACTAGGGATCTAACCCAAGGCCTGATGCATGCTAGTCAAGTGTCCTACCACTGAACTATATCCTGAGTCATTTTTATTTTTTACTTTGAGCCTGGGTCTAAGTTGCTCAGGATGACTTGAAATTTAAATCCACCAGCCTCAGCCTCCCAAGTAGCTGGAATTATAGTCATGCACTACCACACCTGTCTTTCAATAATGCTTTTTTGCAATGAGTTGAAGAGGTTTATAACATACCATCCCCAAATATGCCATTTTGGCATATGTATTATTTTGAGTCAAAGGCAATCAAGAACCAACAGAAGTCAAGAAACCTCTTTACTTTCCCCTCAACTGCCTAAAAATAATTAATTTCTTCATTAGTAAAGGAAATTGTGTTAGTTTTTTATTGCTATTACAAAATACCAGAGAAAATAATCTTAAAGAGAGGAAAAGTTTATTTTGCCTCTGGATTTTAGAGGTTTCAATTCATGTTTGCTTGGCCTGGTTGCAATACATTTTGGCAGAAGAGCAGTTGGCAAAAGAAAGCTGCTTACCTCATGGCACCTGGAAGCAAAAAGAGAGACTAAGGTATGGGATTCCCAATATTCCCTTCAAGGGCGTGTCCCCAGTGATCTTCCACTAAGCCCTACCTTTTAATGGTTCCATCACCACAGGCTTATGATCAAGTCTTTGGAGGACATGGTAGTTCTAAACTATAGCAAACTTACATTTTTCAATTAAATTTCCATTAGTAAAGGTATTTACTTGTGCCAGGAAGAGAGCTACTTCTGAAGACAATTTTTATTGCCTGAAAAACTCTTACCTGTACAACAAAGCAACCCTTCTTGACAATACATTTCCTCTGCCTATCTTCCTTTAATTTGCCTCCTGTCCCTCCAACTTCTATACCATTCCATAGCTTAGGATGTTATATGTGTCAATCATTCGGCCACCGCCTTTGGTTTCATATTTTAGTGAAACTCCCTGCATGCATATGTAATTATTTATTGTTTTCTCCTATTAGTCTATCTTATGTCAATTTAATTTTAAGACAAGGCCCAGAACATACAAGGGATATAGTAGGAAGAATTTTCCTCCCTTACAGAGTGAATGAAAATTCCTCAGCCCATGCTCTTATGAGAAAAAGTGACTCTAGTATTAATCAAATTCCACCCAGCTGCATCACAGAACTGTAAAAAGCTAGAGCTGGAAGATACCTTTAAAATATGGAACCCTATCAAATTTCACTCATACACATAAGAAAACAGTTGATATTTCATTTGGGCAGAAAATGAATAATAAGTATGCATTGAATACTACTATTGGATACACACTTATTGCTTTGTATGTTGTCTACTGAAATTATCAGCTGTATGAAAATCTATAAGTATCCCTATTTTACAGATGATAAGACTGAGTGAAACTTAAAAAGATGAAGCAATTTACTGAAAGCTACAATTAGTAAGTGGTAGAATATGAGATTTGAGATCAGGAAGTTTAGCTCCAGATGCAGCCCTAAACCTGTTTCACATGCGGATGTCTAAGGACAAAAACTAAAGGTAAATATGCAGAGAACAAAACAAACAGTTGGAAGGTGATGGAATTTGATACATTTTTTTTTTCTTAAAAAAAAAAAGAAAGAAAAAGAAAATATTTTTTCTTACACCACAAATACAAGACCCAAACAAAAATGTGTATGATCAAAGCCATCCGATTTCTTCCATTATTTATATTCTCTGCAGTCTTCCTAATGTTCTCCCTGACATCTAGGTTTGGATAACATCCTTCTGGGCAATCCATTCTCTTACGATTTCTCTTCCTGAGCCTGGGGATCCTCTCTTCTAAGTCCTCAAAGTTCTCCTAGCCACTCAGCCTCCCTTAAAGATTTTTATTGAGTTCCCTTCTTCTACCTCTTCCCCTTTGTAAACTTCGCTTTCTGGAGAAATGGAAAAGCTGGACCTTGGGAACTGGTGAGGAATGACAGGACATCTGGCAGTATTTGCTAGGCCTCCAACACTCTCCCGGAGCCCTTCCCCTCCCCCCAGCTCCGAAAAGCTTCCTGGAAATGTCCTTGTTATCACTTCCCCTCTCGGGCTGGGGGCTGGGAGCGGGCTGTCCCCTCCTCCCCACCCCCCGCCCCCGCTGTTCCGCCGGCTCTCGCAGGCTCTCAGGCGCCGCCGCGCTGCAGTGCTCAAAGAGCAGTGCCCGGGCTAGCAGCTCCGCCAAGCGCCCCGCGCTCAGGCACCCTCAGCAACGCGCTACTGTGCTCGCCCGCGCCTCTGCCGTCTTCGAAATGAGGGTCTTGGGTGGGCGCTGCCGGGCGCTCCTGGCGTGCCTCGCCCTAGTGCTTCCAGTCTCAGAGGCAAACTGTGAGTAAATCAATAGTGTCTTGTTTTCTGCCTTCCCCAGCATTGGCAACTGAACAATGTGCCCTGGTTGGTAGGACATTTTTCTCTAGGATTGCAGCCTCCTAGAAAGTTTCCCTTAAGTCCTGAAAAACCACCCACTGTATGGAAGCAGCTGTGGACTAGCAAGCTGAGTAATGGTGGGGAGGATCAATATTTGCTCTGCCGTGAGAATCATGTGTTGCTTACAGGACTGATGCAAGAACCTGGGTGACGCTAAATATCAATGAAGGATTTAGAACGTGTACTCACTCACCCCCTCCCTCCAGCCCCAACAGCCTAGGATCCTAAAGGACAAGGATGAGCACATTGCAGTAAGAGTAGGAAGAAAAGTCAACGCACTGTCCTCCCCCGGTACTAAAGCCTGTCCCCACCCTGCACTCCCCACCCCTAGTGAAACTATCCTTTTGCAACTTCTGGACTTTGAGCTTGTCCTGCATTGACAAATGAACTGTTTCAGGATAACCAAGGTTTTGCATAGCAATAGGAAGATGTCTAATCTTCAAATAAAATTTCTAATCTTCAAATAAAAGAGACTGTTAAATATTACATTTCTCAGATCATTTTGTACTCAGGATTTCTGACAGTGTGTGCCACGGATCTGAGGTGGTGGCGTGAATTCCTTGCACTTTATCTTTGTATATACAGTTCCTTATGTTCCCATACCCAGGTTCAAGGCAGTGTATTGAGTATGCTCTGAAAAATGAATAAAGAGTATCAAGGCTTTTGGTACATTTTATTTGTCAGCTAATTTATTTTCTAAAGTTTAAGTACATTCACGATTTAAAGTGCTTTCTTGTGCTGTTTTATTCTCAGGAATTGGCACAAGAGAAGTAACTCTGACTTAAAAATAACATTTAGTGTACCTACAGCTCCAAAGTAAACTTTTCAAAGATGGCCATTTATTAGAATATTACTAAAATTACACTTGTTTTTATTAATTAATCATAAGGATGAATGATGTATTTTTAAAATTCTAATTTAAAGGCTAAAACATTACTTGTTGACATTATATTAAAGAGCTACAACTGCAAAACTTCAACAAACTCCTATAATTAGTTATGGCTGTATGTGACTGTGTGTACAACCTCATCTATATGGTTCATTAGGACAACCAAATATTTGCTGAAGACCCGTGTTTTAGAGAAGAGAAAGGCAAAAGTGGCTTGCCACACTTCTGCTTATCATCACAGGAATTTGCTAGGTCCTTTATTTTTGTAGAGATTGTTAAATTTTGACTGAATCTAGGCAGAGGTAAAAATTATATATGTGTGTATATTACATATCCATGTATGGACAATAACACTTGTACATAGACACTGAAAAACTAGGTAAATTAATTCTACAAATATATCACATAAGGAATAATTGGCCCTATAATGGTCATTTAAAATTGTGGTTGCTCAATTGAATTAAAACCATGTCTGGTTTACTGATAAGGAAACAGATATTGGGATTTTTGTTTCTGTTTTTTGTTTGTTTGTGGTGCTGGGAATTTAACTCTGGGCTTTGCCCATGCTAAGCAAGTGCTCTATCACTGAGCTGTGTCCCCTGTCCTTTACCACCCAAAGATTTAAATTTTGAGATATGATTTGAACTCTAAATATTTTATTTATAATTCAAGTATCACCCTTAGAAATGTAGTTCCTATTTAAGGAAAAGTTAACAAATTACAGGTATATTTTTTGAGAGAATTGATATAAATCACGTAGTTCAAGCTCATTTTAATAATAAATTACTCAGAGATATTAATTGAGTTTTCAGATATTATAGGTATGTGTGTGTACATATATGTATATATATATATATATATATATATATATAATTAGATGACATATTTTTATGTGAGAGGAGAATCTATGTATTTAAAATACATACTGTCTACATATTTTTTTTTTTTTTCCTCTCTAAGGACTTGTGATACAGGGAAATAGGAGGAAGAGGATATCTATTTTGGCTAGGCTAATTTGGCCTTATCTAGACTTCCACTTTTGGGTGGTTGCAGTCTACACTGGACATATTTTCCTTCTCCTTTTGTACTCTCTTCTTCTATAATTGTCCCTTGAGTTATTCCTTATGTTTTCTTAAATTCTCTTTATTTCAAAGTCCAAAATATTGCACTGCTGGAGAGATTTTATCAAGGTTATGTTACAGTTAGGGTTTGTGCAGTAAAATTTGAGGACAGCTTCTGATACAGCAATAAGAACAATAATCTATGCCATATTCTCCTACCATCCTATACTAGGAAACCTAGTAATGTTTTCTATAATACACACTGTCCACCAACTTTAATATTCTTTTTGTAGCTTAAATGATCTGTTTAAATGATTTAAATCTTGAAAATATTATAAGAAACCTAATAATACATAGATCAGCATTTATTACCTATGAGCAACAACACTATTCTTGCCATCAGAAAAAAGGAAAGAAGGAAGGAATAAAGGAAGAGTTAAGTGGATTTATTAGAAGTCTGTTGAGTGCCAGGTGCAGTGGCACATGCCTATAATCCTAGTGGCTTGGGAGGCTAAGGCAGGAGGGTCATTTGTTCAAAGCCAGCCTCAGCAACTTAGCAAGGCCTAAAGCAACACAGGGAGATCTTGTCTCTAAATAAAATATTTTTTAAAGGGGCTGTGGATGTGGCTCAGTGGTTAAGTGCCCCTGAGTTCAATCCCTGGTACCAAAAAATAAATAAAATAAAATCTATCGAGTGGCATAATGGACAACCAGACCTAGGAAAGCCCGAGACTTGCATTTAGGTGATCTATATAGTATGAACTCACATATTGTACTTTAGGAACTGCCATCATATGACTCCATTCTACCTGCCTTCTAGTCCTCTATGTCTCTGTTCATGACTCCTAGGAGGCCTGATCATTTTGACTTATCTTTGCTTTTGGCTCTGAAGTCTTGTGATTAACAGCTTACTAGAATCACATGAAGTACCAGAAGGACAATTGCCACAAAGGAATGCATTCTTGGAAGAAAACAGATACAAGAAAAGTCTACACATTCTAATTATTGACTCATAATATACACACTTCTTTCCACAAATACCATTTGAAAATATTTCTCATAATTCAAGTAACTATTATATATCAGAAAGAACCCCTCTTCAATAGGTTCCAATCGCCACATTCAGCAAGGAGGACCTGAGGGTACCATTTCCTAATTTACTATCAATAGGTGATGGCCATATTTCCACTGGTTTTGTTCTGTACTTCATGGATGAAATGATGTTTTAGTGTACCAGCGCATCTTATATGTGCTCCTTCCAAAATAAAAGACAAGAAAGGGAATACAGGTAGTGGCTTTAGTACTTAATCATCTCTCTTTTGGTTATAAGCTAGATCTTGGTAGTAATTCCATCACTGTTCATTTTCTAACTCCCACCCATCCCTGAGCAGTTCTGGAGGATTAAACTCAGGGCCTTATGCATGCTAGTGAACACTTTACCACTGAGCTACATTCCTAACCCTCCTATCTCTCTTGTCCTCAGAAAACTCCTCATTTTTGTTTCTTGTCAATGAGATTAACCACACCCTTATTTAAGAAGAACCTGAGCCCTTGTTGTTCCTCCCTGGGGATGATATACCCATTGCCTCTTTCACCATTTCTATTGTGAATAAGAGTTATTCTGGAGGAGTTCTACTCTTCCTAACCCTGGTTTATAGTGGCAAAAATACTATTTTGTATTGATTATTGTCATATTATTATTGACATTTCAGCATAATACTTTCCTTTTTTTCCCCCAAGAGTTGTAAAGAACTTCAAATGGCTATATAACAGTCTCAGCTTCTAACCTCAGTGGAAGTATATTAAGTCCCATAGAGAATGCATTCCTTCTTGGTTCTGGAGAACCCAGATGATGAGAAAAGAATGCAAAAAACTGAGACGAGGTGACTGTATTACTTTCCTAGCATGCCATAACAAAGCACCACATACTGGATGGCTTAAATAACAGAAATTTGTGCTCTCATGATTCTGGAGACTTGCAGTCTGAGTTCAAGGCATCAGCAGTATTGATTCTTTCTGCAATGTATGAGGGAGCATTTTTTTCTATGCCTTTCTCCCAGTGTCTGGTTGCATTAGATGCATACTCCCTATGTTTTAAAATTGTCTTTCCTCTGTACATATCTTTCTCTATGTCCAAATTTCCTTGTTTGGTAAGGACACTGCTTACTCAGATAAGGTCTACTTTAATGATTTTAAGTTGAATTTATTACCTGCCAAGACACTATTTCCAAATAAGGTCACGAATTCGATAGTATTGAGTGAATTAAGACTTCTGTGTCTTTTTAGAGGATATAGTTCAACCATAATAATCACTAAATGTCAAATTATGATAAGCAATTCATTCCTGTTTTTGTTCATTTCTGACCTGTGCATTTTGGTTCAAAAAACAGCACAAGCTGGGCTTAGTCGAACACAACTGTAATCCCAGCTAATCAGTAAGCTGAGATAGGAGGTTTGCAAGTTCTAGGGCAACCTAGGCAATTTAGCAAGACCATGTCTCAAAATAAAGAGGGATAGATGTAGCTCAGTGGTAGACCACCCCTGGGTGGTCCTCAGTAACACTCTCCCACACACACACAAATAAACACTATGTATTATTGATTGCTGGCACAGAAAATATACCACTTTTTTTTTTTTTTACCACATTTTGGAAGATAATGTTGTGTCCCAAAGGACAATGACTGAGCTGCCAATAACTGATTCCCCAATAATCAATTTTTCATCATAATTATGAAACTATTTTCCTTATATATTCAGAGATCAGATGGATGGGTGGAGAGTGAATAGATAGAAACCACATGAAAGATTCAAGCCAGAATTTTGTCTCCTCGTCTTTGTGAATTCTTTCTGTTCCATTACACCAAGGAATGTCTGGCTTTTCAGTGTTATTTATTGTGTGCCAAAGTTTGGTCTAGGATGGCATTAGCCAATCAAGCCAATTGTTAGAACTG